AGTATATGTATAGTTTTGTACACTTATAAAATTTGTTATTTGTAAACTTAAGTAGTATTTTATCAATCTGTTTTATAATCCATGTGCACCACAAGTAACTGGCTTCTCATATAAAACATAAGTTTCAAAACTAGGGATATAACAGAAATTTATTCTGCATGCTTGAAAGATTACTCTAGCTATGTGACTTTGAACAATACTTCATTAGTTCCAGGTTTACAGTTGTGATATCGTGAGGTGTTATACTGTGACTTTATTTTAGGCCTGTGTAAGGTGGTAATTAATTCTTTATGTTGTTGTCATTAAGTGGGTAATGAGTCTCAAAACAAATAATCAACAAATTTCAGAGGTGGGGGTGCCAAAAGTGTTTTTGCCCCCAGGTGCTGAGAACCCTTGCTACACCACTGTCTGAGACTTAATCAGGTGTTCACATCCACAACTATATGCCATTTTATATTATACAGTTAGAAACAGACTTCACAAGGCTTGTCTTTATGCCAGTATGCAGAAAATCTGTAACCATATTTAACCCAATTTTCATACAGTAATATGATGCATTTGGCAGTGACGACAAAAAGTATGGTATAGGTAGGCATAAGCAATGACTACACCTATGAAATGGTCTTTCTAATGTCATAAATTATAAGGACTACATCCTATTACTCTTTGTACTGCCATATGCTGATACAATTAGTTCCCCACCATGCTATAGGGGTCAAAACACTCATTGAGAAAAAAAAGAATTGACCAACTGGAGTGGTCTTTATGTTCAGACTTCAATCCAATTCAGCATACATGAGATGCTCTTGGATGCTATGTTACATCCCACCAAAAGACTCCAGGCACAAAAGTAACTCTGGAAACAACTATTTCAAAAAGAGTCATCAGGGTTACCCCAGGACCTTATAAATACTATTTTTAAGCATGCAACTTTGGTGTCAGGCTGCCCTTGCTGTTCATGATGACCAAACTCTATATTAAAATGAAATATTATGAACTGTAATGAAATAAAATCATCTTTAACAAATATTCTTTTAGAAGAGTAGGCTGAATGACTAATCATTTACACTTTAAATCGTATGATGAGTAATCAAATGCTTTTTGCACATAAATTAAGTAAAAAGACTGACTGACATTATTTTATAACAGTGGTTTTGTTTGTCATGGCTAAAGTAACATTAATTTCAGTTATCCTTTAACTGTCTTTTGCAGTGTATATCACTGATTGCATCATCTAAGAAACAGGTAGTTTAAAGGACCAACAACCATGTACATTCGGTTAATACGTAAGACTGATGTTCTTATTAGTTTGTAGTGATATTATCACTTATATACAGTATCACCCAAGTAACCTGAACCTTAAATATGTGTTCCTTATTACCATGGTTCTATGGAACTTGTATGTTGTGTTCTTATCTATAAAGATTCCTTATTACCTTTTGTGTGTATTCCTGTGGGTAAGAATTTTTCTTAAAGGAGTCATCAATTTTTTTCTTGCCTCCTTCTATCCTTTTTCTTTATTACAAACTTTATCAATCGTATGGAAATAACCAATAACTACACCACTCTTTACTACAGGGAGATGATGTAAGTGGAAATGCAAAAGGGTTTAGTAGATGGCTTGCTAAAAATATCAGTAATGATTTCTCCACCCTTGATATGAATGATGGTATTCAGAAACAGTACATATCTACCTGGTATGGCACAAGTAAGTGTAAATTTTAAGAACATATGGACTGTATTCAATAACTCATGGAAACTAATAAGTGATCCTTAATTAATGTTCCACACCCTAAATACATCATCTATGAATCTGTACCAGATTGATGGGCCTATATTTCCTCCTGTTTTCCAAGAATTAAGTGCTTTTAGTTCAAGTATATCAATACATATTACAGCCAGAGCTACTACTACTCTACTCTCCATACTTATTCCTTTAATCTTTTTATAACATTCTTCAATAAGTCTTACATATTCATTACCTAACACAAACCTAAGAGCTCGTTCTAACCAACTGAAAAATTTAAAAGTTCTACGTCATATGTATCTTCTCTTATCATGGTCATAACACAATCTACTCCTTCTTCAGTTGGGATACTGGGAGATAATTGAACATCTATTGTAAACAGGATAGAATTATCATTATGAAGGTGTGAGTCATTATGTAACTATTCAAGAAAATGATGTATGCTGTTGATATCAGCAGAGACTAAGTCCAGTAACAGGTACAGAGTCTGTCCAAAACCCATTATACACTTTCCATCAAAGATCTACAAGTAAATGTAAGAAGTCTCAGGGGTAAATTAAACCTATGCTCTTTAGGATGATAATACAATTCAGGGACTCATCTGATACATGGTTTCAAACTGTTCACTATTTTTCTTTAATTCATTTAAAATAATTCTACTTTTACTTTCAAGTGTTTTAGTAGTAACTCTATTCAATTTTAGAGTTATCTTCATATAATAAATGAGTGCAAGTTTTCCTAAAACTTAGAATCCTTTATTTTTATCAGTTTCTTTAAAGAAAATGTCACTATTACCTTTTAATTTATACAAAGCTTTTTCCTCCTGAGAGAATAAATTATGTTTCATTATGTAATTATGAAATTTCCCTGAAATGCGTGACACCTTAGAAAGTTCTGCCATGACATCTTCTTTTATGTTTGTGCTTTTAATGCTGGTGATTTAGGTAAGTTTCAAAGTGAGTTAACTGCCAATTGATGTTTCTCTCATTATTCTGATGAATCTCTACTACTTCTACTCTGATTTTTTTAAAGAATGCTTTTCTCTTTGTAGTATTTTATGGAAATTTTGGGGGTAACAAAGATAAAATATCCAATTCTCTACCATCATCCAATCTAGTTGGAATTACAAAGCTTGCTCCTATTTGAGTAATAATTTGTTCTATGGTATAAGTTAATTTCATCTTCTATCATTGTATTTTGTATTCCTTCCTTCAAAGATTTCACCTTCCCCAGATTTAATTACATTGATTTGACTATATGAGTGTTTGTTAATTAAAGTTTCAAATATATATATATAAGAATTTTGTCTTTAAAATTTCTGTTAACTTGACCATATCCTAGGCCTTTTGGATTTAAGGCATATCTCCTACAATCAAGGAGAAATCCTAACTGTGCTTTAGTTCCCTTGAACCAAAGAAATAAGGAATGCACATTTGAAGCTCATGATACTTAGTTATTAAGTGGTAACAATCACAAAACTGAAGAGCATTATTAGAGCATTAGGCTTATCTATTAAATTAGTACAGAAACCAGGCATCTCTCTTAAATCCTTAATAACAAGTTCAGCATATAAAAAAGAAACACAGTGTGTACAAAATAAGCATATAGCCACTAAATATGGATTAAATTGTCAGTGCAATTGTACAAATATTGTTCATAAAGTAACCCATTGCAGGTGATCTAGTACATAAGGAGAAACATGCTAACCATACATGATAGATTAACTCATTATGTTTGTGACATCCAAAATCTTAATATTAACAATGCTGTTGCTGAGCATTATAGTAAAAACATAGAATACTACAAGAAGGTAATATATTATCAGATGTTAAGATCTTATCTAAAAGTCATAGTTTTCTTGGTCAAAAAGATTACAGAATCCATTTTAATAAAGAAAAATAAACCTAAATAAATATATAGATTGGCTTTTAGTGTACAGATGTTTATTGTACTGCTAGAATTATAATATGTTTCAATTTTGTCAAAGTCTCTATACACTTTCACAATGGTTAAAATATATTTTTTGACATTGTAACGTGTATGTATTGATATAATACGATAAAAGTAAACAGATATTTGTAAACTTACTTACATATCTTAATAGTTCACCTGTTTCAACAAGTCAGGTTCAAAAGAGTGTTTGGTATTATTTTTAATATGATTTCAACATTTATTAATATTCGATTAACCGATGACAGTGTTCCAATTTAGTTTCAAATGGATTAATGAATGTTTAGGATATCAATAGATCCTGACGAAGCTGTAATAGTGAAATATTGAGCTAATAAAGATACACTCTGTTGACATAAGTCATTACTTTATTTACATTTATTGAAACTTCTAGTAATAAACTCCAGTTTTTGTTAAACAAAACTGAGAATAATAATTTCAAGTATGTTACCTTGATAGGGAACATTGTCACTTTTTCTGGGACATCAATGTTATACCATACACATAAGTTTCCTCTGTTTTGGGCTACTACTACATCACTTCCAGGTATCCACTGCAATTTAAATCACAATTAGAAACATGATTATAACCATAGCTTAGAAGATAGTTACTTTTAACTTAAACTAGAAAATATATGTAACAGCTAAATACAAATATAGTAACATGTAACATAAACCAGAAAATTAACATAACATCTAAACAAGAATATAGTAACATGTATATATAAACCATGTAACACCTAAACATGTAACAAAAAACATAAATATAGGTAAGGTAAACTAGAAAGGACATGTAAAAGTTAAGTGTGAGTATAGCTGCACACACAATTATAAGATATATGTAATAGCTAAGCACAAAATAAGAAATTTATGAGTTTTGCAGCATTAAGGACAGACCTTTTCAATCTCTTTCTTTTTTCTACTATTTGTAACCAAAATAAATCTTGCAACAATGGGCACTCCAATATTCCATACTAAGGGCAGTCTTTAGTCTTGTTCTCTATATGGACACTTGATTAAGCAGGCAGTTAACCCTTTTGCTGCAGGCAAGTTAAAGTATGCACGTCATGACCTTTTACAGTTATTTTAAAAATTTTATTAAATAGCTTTACTATTACTCATAATACTGTAAGTACTCAAAATCTATGTTTTTCAAAGTATATTTTATTCATTCTTCTATATTTTACTAAACGTAACTAAAATTTAAGCATGTGTGTATAAAAAGTATTTACTGATTGACAAATAAGTCTGCTGAAAGGGAAATAAGATCTTATAACTCTGTGCACAAATATCTTTGTATGCCTGTACAGTACACCGCTAAATTACAAACATTCTAGAAGGATGACCAATATTCAAACACTTGCAATGTTTATTGGATCAGCTCTGAACCATATACTGAGATTCATATACACAGATTCAAAATACAATTTTTTTACACTGGGGAATTCTTGTTGTAAACACTGTAGGATACATAAGCTGATAACTTTCACACCGTGTTCTCTTAGTGGGGGTTAAGTCAGCTTATTTCTGTGCATGTGCTTTGTTGCTCTTTAGAGTATCATATTATGGTGTCACACATTTCTTTGTTCCATTTATTTAATGTTTTTACAGTATACACAAAAACATTGCTTACATACATGCATGGCTCATTTTTGATATTAAGGGCACCTTGCTACAGAAGGCATTTGGATGCAGTTGGAAGGGTGCCCTTAATGTTCAGGTTCTACTGTAGTTCTAAAGTTTAAAACATGAGTAACAAATATGATATCATATTATATAAGTAATTCCAGGTCTTTTATGATATTTATCTGTGGATCTGCACTACAATAATCCTTCAAAAACATTATTTTCTGTTACAAGTATAATATTGTTCTAGATTTTGTGAGAGAGAAGTTTTTATACCCAGATTTTACAACCATGGACATTCTCAAAGTACCAACCACAAAATAATTCCTTTTTAGTTTAGCCATACAAGTACAATAGTTCTGATATACACTTTACATATAACAACACTTCAGATAATTTAAATAAAACACAAGATATACAATTTTTGAGTAAACCTTTTTCATCAAATATGTGTATGTGTGACATAAGAAAAAGATGACCTTTACCTGAACAAATGTGCAGTAGTTTAACAAGGATGTTCTTTCTTCTGTCTCAATATCAACCAGGTTTAACTGTAATGGACATTTAAAAGAGCTATTTTTCCAATCATCCAATATAGTTTGCTAACATTTCAAGCATGGATAAGAATATTTGAGCATGAAATGTTTTTTATTCTCACACTGAGAGATACTTTATTTAAGAGCAAGCATACACTGACTGTGAACATTGCTAATTTTATTTCAATAGTAATTTTTGACATTCCAGCATGGATCACAAAGTAATGATGTGCAGTAGTATAATACACTGTTGTTTTTTGTTACAAGTTTCACAAAAAAAAATTGTGATGTTCTGTAACGTTAATATTTGTTGATCATTCTTTGTAATTAAATGTTAGATGCTTGAGTGAGAGACACCACTTTTGTAGTTTTATCTACTGATATAAACATTGGTTTAGCCAGGAGTTCTCTGGGACATTAAAATGTAACCTATTACGAGAATATTTTATGAAAGAATCAATCAGTGTAACGCACACAACAACCATGCTAAATGCTACCAACATGATTCAGAAGTCCTAAAGAATTTCAGCAAATCTAAAGTTAAGATAATTAACCCTACTGTGACAGGTCATGTGTCAAAGGCCATGTCATCGCATTTGTTGACTTGCATTAAAAATTTTATTGAACTACTATTTTATGAATTTATGCTAATAAGTTTGGTATCAAATTGTAGATTATAATTCAAATTTTAGTATGATATGTTAGTTAATTTCTTAATTTAAAGGTAAATATTAAAAAAAACACAGCCTAACATCAATTTTTTGTGTGTCATGAGGTATGTTGAATGCAGCACTGGTTCAAATTAGATGTTTGTGATGTCAAAATACAAAATTTACAGTTTCGTACGAATTAGGAACTCAAAATACAGATATTGACAAGTTAGAAGATAAAATAAGAACCTCTTATCTTTTCTACTTGCTAAGATATTGCTCCTGTACTGAATCAAGCACAGTGGCCCCCCGCCAACCACTTTCCATTTTTGGAAACTATATACACATACCTCTATATATGACATGAATAACCAATCAAAAGCTCAGAATGTCCCTGTAGTGGTTTTCTCAGCCATTTTGATATGTTTATTGTGTTAATTTCATACTTTTCACAATAGTTTTCAAACGATAAGGTAAGTCTTTAGTGAGCTCGAAAATTCATATTTTTTAGACCTAGATACTAGTTACTATGCTTGATAAATTATAGTGTAATTCTATTGTACTGATATAGTATTTTATGATTTTTTGGTTATTTAAAATGTATATATAAAGCCTAAAAAAATTATTTTTTCACATCCTCCACATGGGAAATTTCATAAGGCTCAGCAACCTACCACAAGTGGCAAACGAGTACGAAGGTCATAACTAGAAGAGATAATTGTTTGCTTTACGTCTTTACTTACTGTTCTATGTTTTAAGAAAAATAAGTTTAAGAACTTATTTGTAAATAGTAATAATGTAGATACATACATAAGGTTTAATAATTAAAATGTGACTGTATTTTACAAGATACTAGTACACTGAAACACAGTCATGACAGTTTTTTTAAAGACTAAAGGTCAGTTATATATTATTGGATAACGTAACACGAGTGCATGTGTGCCTCATCATTGTAACTTCTGTATCGTTAGCCAGGCATGGCTGGAAGATGAATATAATAAAAATAATATATATATATATAAATGTATAATGTTATGAGATTTAAGCTATTTAGACTAAACATTTGTGTTTTCATGTTATAATTTGTAGTCATTCTAGAACGAAAAAAGCATAACTTATATTTTGTTTCCTAATTTTTTATTGAGGTTACAAAGTTGGTCAAATCGAACCAACCTGTACAAAAATACAGTAGTGAAAATAACAAATAAAATATAAAGTTTTTCTAAACAAAATTTGATAATTATCTGGAGATTATAAAGATATTGCATTAAAATATTTTTAACCTTAAAATCAAAATTGCTTTGCATGTTGGATAGTCACCATTCTGAAAGAAATAGGTTTACGAGAAAATCTTTAATTAAAAAAATCCTAATACTTAATTTAAAAACCTGAAATTTTGTGTAATATGCATAGATTATCAAAAATCATAGTATAGTTACTCTCATGGATACTTCTGTGGTTACGAGCCGGGTGGATTCTACCCAGACCGTAATGGAAGGGTTAAGTAACATTCAAAGTTGTTAGTGAGTTAGACTATGGTTTTTAGCATTTGGATATCAGTCAAAAACGATTATGGAGCATAAATCTTGGAAATCTTGCAAAATACAAATTGCACAGAGAAAGAAATTTTTAAAACAAATAATCTATTATAAAATCATATGAGAAATAAACCTTTATCAAATTTTTCTGCTAAATTATGGAACTTAGAACATACAAATTTATATAACAATTAACCCTATCGGCATGGGTACCCTTTACTGCGCATGACACAAGGTTTTAGTGTCTTACATTCAAAATTTTATTAAACTACTATTTGTTTATGTTATACCAATTACATTAGCATAAAATCTTAGCTAATAATCCATATTTTAATAGTATATAAGTTTTAAGTTCTTAATTCTAAAAGGAAATATATATAAAAAAATCCACTTGTGTAACACACATGACAAATTTTGTCTTAGCATGTCATCATCCCTATTTTACCCATCACCCCTCGAAAATGTACGAAATTAAACGTAAAATGCTCTCTAGAAAATAATTATTGCTCAAAACAACCATAATTCTTATGGCCTTCAATTTTGTTTTGTTACAGAGCTATCAAAGAGAAAAATCAGACCATCCTGCCACACCCATCTGTCACATCCTCTCTTTCTCAATTGGTTGATAGTTCTCTCTTACGTTTCATTATACATATATTATTTATAAACCAATAGAAAGTCAAGGTTTTTATCTATCAAATGGCGTATTGTATAACATTGTGTTTTGAACAGATAACCATCAATGTCACTCTGAGTAGCAACATCATTCTCGTGGAAAAGTTAACAACTAGCATGGATGAATTTCTAACGGCTCTCATTGCATAGTTAGAAAGCCAGGAAAATTTTTAGAAGTAAGTGAATTTACCTACTTTTTGCATGTTATGAGTCTATATTCTTTGGTGTATTATAAAAAACGTTTGAAATGCATTTAGGAGGTTTTAGGGATTACACAAAGGAAATTTGAGATTTTTGAGATGGCGAAAAGTATTTTTAATTTTAACATGAAAATGACTTTGCACACAGACTATTCAAAACAAATACTCAATATATTCATGGACAAAATTTTATTTTATTTTATTAAAAGTACGTCACTAAAAAATATGACTTTTTGTATGTGAAAGACTTGTAATATGAACTGAAAGACTGCCAAATTTCGTAAAGATATACCCAATATATAGAGAGTTATAAGTATTAAATTTATGTCAACTTTAAACGAGTACAGAAGGTCACGTGACTCAGTCCCAGGGACCAAGCCCGTGTCGAAAGACTTAATCTATACATCATCTGTCAACCTAAAAAAATAAAAACCTCTTAAAAGTTCAATGCATAACAGCTTATTCAACAGAATTTATTAAAACTGT